ATAGTTGAATTTAGAAATATTTGTGGCATGCCTGCTGTGCCTGGCATAGTGCTGGGGCCTCAAGAACACAAAAGCAAAGAAGTTCTCGGGCTGGTGAGGAACAGATGAAGGAAGTCATATGCCAGCTAACAGGGTGCCATGGGAATAGCAAGAGTGAGTGGCCAGACCATCGAGGAAGTCTTTACCACCTGGCGCCAAGGGCCAGAGGGGTGTTCTGGGCCAAGGGTGGCAGGAAATGTGTGGGGATGTTGATTTTTAAGGTCCAGAGTTGGGTGGGGAGTGCATGTGACAGGAAGTGTGTCTGGAAAAAGGGACCACCTTTCAAACCATTTATCAGAAGAGGAAACCATAGATGTGAATATTGTGCTGAATTGGATTTATATTCTGGACGTGTAGCTCACCAATAAATAGTACAGAGCTCTCGCTGATTGAACGTTTGCTGGCACTGTTCTGAGGTCGTTTCTCATACTCCTCACAGCCTAGACTCTAGGCCCGAGAGATGCGCTGCTGTTCCCCATCCCTGGCAGACCAGGAGAGGGGCGCTGAGTGGGCCAGCGATTGCCCGCAGCCACACCATTTCACAGACCTTCCTGTTCCTGCCGTGGGCACGAGTCCGGAAACCACTGTTCACACTGAATTTCTTCCAGTCTTTTTAAAGATGCTATTGGCTCTTTGTCTAATACTAAATATATCTACAATTAAATTGGTACTCATCTTGTTTTTCTTGTACAGTTGCATTTATTGCTGTTTCACTTAATAAATCACAGAATAAGAACAACTAAGTGCTAATAACCACTTACAAGGATTCACTACTTGAACTATTTGTATTTAGCATTCATTCGAATTGCATTCTCTTCAAGTTGAGGAAAATATTTATGAATATTGAGGATACTAGTTGTTCACTGAGGTGGTTTCCCATATATTTCTATAAAATATAAATGATATTCATATTTATCAACACCATTTGAAGGGTTCTTGCTTGAAAAGATGACTAGCCTTGAGTTGGGTTAACTGACAATTTTTTCTAAAAATAGTTCTAGGTGTCGGAAGTGAAGTGACTCATTTAGGGCATTGGATTACAGCCCAGATAGACTCCCAGCTGCCCTGCCCTATGTTTTTAGTACAGGTTTCTCTATATTCTTTGATAAATACTTATTGGTAACAATACCTATAGCATGCTAGAACGTCTTGCACTAGAGAGGGTAACAGGCTGGCAGTTTCTGAATAATCAAAGCCCAAGGTCAAAGCTTAGCTTCCCATCTGCCTTTTTAGTAGAAGATTGCACACTTCAGCTAACACCCTGAACACTGAGGTTCTTCTGTGCCCAGAGTCACCCTGAGCCCCGTTTTCCTTTAAAAGGGAAGGAAAGTTCTGCCTTAGAATGCCCGGGCACCCTGCATTCTGCCGCATAATTTGGGCGACTGAGAACCCAGCTGGCCTGCTGCTTAGTAATTCCTCAACACTCTGGTATGTCTTGATGTTGCCAAGTAGATTGGAAGGATTCGGAGAACAGGAAATAAACTTCTAGGAGATAAGACGAACTGTAGACCAGACGAGAGAGGAAATGAGAATATGAATCCAGGGAAACATTAGCAGTTTGACTTTATTTTTAAACCCAGAATCGTTGGAAAGCTTTCTTTCCCTCATTTAGGGGAGCTATCCACTTACTCCGTTTTATTGGTTAGAACTCATAGCAAAGTATGTGTGGGGGGACTACGTTTCCATTTATAGCTGCATCTCAGCTGGTCAGGAATTGCAAAAGGGTGCGGTGTGCTGGAGCCTGTGAACTTGCTGTTGATCTTACAGCTACCACTGTGTTCTCATCAGACCAAGAAATCTGTGAAGTTAGAAATGACTTTAAAACATATCTTACCTTTTCTCTTTAGTGTTTGTGTCATTCTGTGACCGTGCTGGCTGTTTTCATAAAGAAGAGTTTGAGTACTGATGTGAACCAAATATGCAACCATACCTGGATGTTAAAGCAAAAAGGCAAAAGTATAGAGAATGTGACTAGCCTTTATGCTCTCAAATATGACACCTTGTCATCAGATACTATTTCATAAGGAAGGTCATAGTACATGAATAGCTTTCAGTAACCTTTTATAGTTCATGTGTTAACTTACTCATGGTCAGCAATGAGTATCATGTTATTGGTCATATTCTGTCCTGTGGCAGCCATTCTAGAGGCTGTCAGTGATTGTGGGCTTAAAGGCGAGCCTGTGGCTTTAGGAACCACATAGTAGCAACATGCACTTTCGTGGATTGCAAGGCTCAGGCCAAAGCATCACTGGGCCTGAAAGAACTTTTACAAAGTTGGCTTTTATGGACCATTTGGAAATTCTAAATTTTATGGCACATTCAGTGCATTTAAAGACTTTTGTTGCTGTTTTGGTTTTACTGTTTTTTAAAAAATTAGATCAGTAATTTAAATAGAGAATTTAAAAAACTAGAATTAAATAAATGAACCTGGATTTGTTGCCCCCCCATCCACCTGTGTTGAGGGTCCTCCTGTGTATGTTCACGGCTCTCTAATTGCAGATAGAGCACTAGATTGTGTCCATTTACTGAACTGAACTCGACAAGGACAAAGACGGCTTAGCACCCAACAGTTTGTAATAGGCAGGCAGGCAGGCAGTGTTGGCTGTTGTTAAATTGCCTTTGGGAGTTGAGAATAACCTGCTAGAAATAGCTTTCAATAACCTTATATAGTTCAAAGATATAACTGAATAAGGATCATAACTTCTAATTAAGTATTACTCTTTGGCACGATATATTCAAAATTACTGTGTGTCAGTATTCCGTCCCTTTCCTTGGGCAGCACAACTCAGTAGGGAGGGCATCTGCAGTGAGAGTTACCACTCATACAGGGGGTGGTGTGAGCGCTGCACATGCAGAGCTGGGACCAGACTGTGGCAGGCGCTCAGCAGAGGGGTGGCTGACCGGGGCTGCTGGGAGCTGTCGGTGTCTGCATCCTTAGAAGTTGCCTTTGGCATGGGAACCATCAGCTAAGTTAGATTTGACTAGTGATTGCCATGTCTGGAAATTGCAACCTCACAGCTCTCTTTGATTTTTGAATTTTTAAAAATATGTATATTTTTATTGATTTCAGAGAGGAAGGGAGAGAGAAAGAGAGAGAAACATCAATGATAAGAGAGAATCATTGGTTGCCTGCCTCCTGAAAGTCTCACGCTGGGGATTGAGCCTGCAACCCGGGCATGTGCCCTGACCGGGAATTGAACTGTGACCTCCTGGTTCATAGGTTGACGGTCACGTTACCTATGAGCCACGTTAGCTGGGCCAGAGTTTTTTTGTTTTGTTTGTTTTGTTTTTAAAGCAACAGCATCCTTACATTTTGAGTGGGTAAGAATTTCCTCTTGGAAAATTTGAGGATTTTATTATGCATCTTTTTTAAATGAATTTTATAACTAATGCTAATGCCATTAGTTATGGGGACCGCTTCTAGCTCTGTGGTGCCTTGAAAACAAACTTAAGGACTAAAATCAGGTGTGCCCATTATACAACTTGGAGAAGTGACTGGGCTTCTGCATTGGTCTGTGTTTTGGACACAGATGGGCGTGAGGAGGTCCTTGACAATCTGTCATTGTACAGTTGACCCTTAAACACCATGGGTTTGAACTGCATGGGTCCACTTATATGTGGCTGTTTTTCAATAAATATGTAGTCAGCCCTCTGTGTCCCCCAGGTTTTGCATCCACCAACTGCAGGCACAGATGGCCAATTGCACGCATTGATCTATGCCGTTTTATTTGGCGGCCTTGAGCATCCTTGGATTTTGGTATTTACAGCAGTCTTGGAACCAGTCCCTCATAGAAGCTGATGGATAGCTGTAGTTAAGTTTGGGGGGAATTAAAAGGTGTAGGTGGATTTTTTTATGTGAGTGGGGTCAGTGCCCTTAGCAAGGGTCAACTGTACACATTAGAATTTGGAGACCATTACACAGGGGCCATGTGTTCATGAGAGTGGTTCGTTTATTAGGCAGAAAGCCCTGGGAGGAGACGGGATCCAAGGCTTTCTTATGGACATCAGGCGTGCTCTTGCCAGCTAGTGATAGTCCTAGTTTGACAGACGCACCTCAGTATAAAGTCACACATTTGTGGATGTTCTGGCTCCCAGCTGGACTTTTCCTAAGAGCGGGGCCTGGTCTTCTCCAATTTCGTATTGGTTACAGCATCACACAGCAGGAACCTTAAGTCTGAGCTGATTGTCTGACCGATTGACTTAAATCGGCATTATCACCAGCATGGGCCAGTCAGGTGACACTCAGAGAACATCCACACAGTGAAAGTGGGGAGTCGTTTTGGGGCTCCTGGGCTCCTGCGATCACTTCATAGCCCTGTGTCCTTAGAGGTTTCACTGGACTCTGTGATGGCTGCCCTCAAGCATTCACCTAATTCCACAGACCACTTTCCAGAGGGTCTGCCTTTTAGATCGAGTGAGAGTTGAGAACGATGAAAGTCATTACCAAATTGGCCATGTTTAGATGCTGAACTATTTGAAAATAAGAATCTAGAAAATATATGGAGAATTTCACATTGGGAGGAAAATGAAATTAAATAGGTCTCATCCATGCCTCTTACTGCACTAAAAAATAACACTCTGATTCAGATACACAATATATTCTGTGAAAATTGTTTTTCCATCATACAGTACTGTCAGGTGAAAGATCCTTGCACCTGTGAAAGGCGAGACAGAGTTCAGATGGCCTCTGGGCCTGTTTTTACACCAGTGGGTATTTCCATGCTGCACTTTATCATTTGCTCAGGTGCCTGCTGTTTCTCAGGATGCCCTTCTGTGGGTCTGATTCCCTGTGACTGCGTGTGTGGACTGTGGCCTGTCCCCTCCACTAGTCCCCACATCCTCTCCAGGCTTTTCCTTGGACCATGCATTCTGCTTAGTTTTGAAGTTTGATCTCTTTGTAGGCGTAATCCCAGCCCACTGGTTCACTCCTTGTGGTAAATACCATCTTGGTTGTTTTCTAGGTTGTGCTGGTAAGGTGGAATGAGCCATACCAGAAGCTGGCCACGTGTGACGCAGATGGAGGGATCTTTGTGTGGATTCAGTATGAAGGGAGATGGTCTGTGGAACTGGTCAACGACCGAGGGGCTCAGGTGAGTGGGCTGGACCCTCTTCCAGTGGAAGACCGCTGGAGAGAGAACACAGGTCGTGTGTTCCAGGGCAAATGGGAACTCTTTCCAGAAATGGGTGGAGTAGAAATAAATAAAACTAGAACCCTGCTTTTCATGCTTCGTGCATATATCACTTCAGCTGTGCTGCTCTTGTGAGAACACTCTGAGTTTTCAGGCTTGAATTAAATCTGTGAAATCACTTTTCACATTCAGTGTATGATTGCATGCCGAATCCGGGCCCTGAGGCACTCTGGCCTATCACTTGTTTGCTCCCTTTCACAAGGTGTTTTCCTATGCTGTCGCCTCCTGGTTGTCTCCACATAACTGTTTCTCACAACCCACTCACCACACTGAGTTGTCAACACTTTCTTCTCAGGTTGCAAAGAGTGTGGCCAACTGTTGTCCTCCCTCAGCTCTTCCTTTCTGATATAAATTTGTCTCCCCCAGAGGAAAACAACTGCTCCAGGGATGCCCTGCTGAGCGGTGCTATTTTTGAACCGCTTCATAGATTCTTCTGGCTTGTGGGACAGCTCTGCTCCTCCCACAGGAGGATGGGCAGCACAGCACACAGGTGCCATCCCAGGGATCTAACAGAACTAGGGCTTCAGAACCGAATCCTCAGGGGACCTTTGTGGATGGGCGTTTCTTAGTCTATTCTCCTCTCCTAGGGTGGGTTTCCCTGTGAGCTCCCCAAGTTTGAAAGATGAGATCAGTGACGTGGCATAAAATTGCAAGGAGTGAAGATATTTTTGCAGTTATTATTAGCAGATCCTTATTAGAGGATCTTTATAAGATGTCATCACAGAAGACAAATCTACTTCTGGGTAAAAATCAAACTTTCTTTCTTTGTGACTTTATTTGTTAGGGTAAATGTAATAGTTTTGACTAACTCTGAAAAGGCCGTCCTATCTAATAAGAGAGGAATATGCTAATTAGCCGTTACACCCTGAGGCGCAATGACCAAGCACATCACAGACCAGATCACTGATCAGCAGGAGTTGGGTCAGCAAGGTACAAGCGGGGCTTCGGAGAGCTACAGGAGGGGGCAGGGCAGCAAGCTGTGGGGGTCAGGGGACGGGGGAGCTACAGGAGGGTAGGGTATCAGGCAGAGAGCTACAGGGCCGCAGCGACCTACTGGCGCACATATTTGTGTGTAGGGCTACTAGTATTATAATAGGCAGTTAGACAGATATGAGCAGAGCAAGGGCTTTGGGCCAGGTACAAGGACTTTGGTACAGAAGGTGCCCAGGGCAAAAAGCCCCGGGCGCCTAGCAAGGGGCAAAACTGGGAAAACAAGGACCTTGCCCCCAGGGTAACCTTTCCTCCCCTTGCATATCACTAGTCATGTAGGTTAGACCCCTGACCTTTCCTCCCTAAGGATAGCACCCAGGCCCAGTAAAGCAGCAAAACCACACAAGTGAGGCCACCGCTGCCTCAGGACCTGCTGCACTGACTACTGGCACCGACCAATCAGTGGAGACCATGACCCTGAAAGAGCACACTTGGAAAGCTGATGAACATTCTATTAAGACCTCCCCTAAGATTCCAGCCTGCAAGAGAGAGAAATACCACACCCACATCTTTACCTTCCCCCACAGGTGTGAGAGGACCTGTAAGACTTACAGCCAGGGGAGCAGTGGGCAGCGGCAGCTCATCCCAGACTAAGCCCCGACCCTGTCTCCAAGGCCCCCCTTTCTCTGACTTCCCAGGGAGCCACAGCAGCCCAGCAGAGGCTCCTCTGTTGCTGCTTCTTGCTCTTCCGTGTCCTGAATGTGTTTTTGCTTCCGACAATAAATTCTCGCTTGCTTTGCTACGCTTTCTCTCTTGACTAAAATCTTTCCTTCAAGAAGACAAGAACCAAGGTCTCTAGACTCAGTAACAATATCAGTTTCCTGCGTACCTCCAAAGAGCGAAAAAGGAAGGGGTGACTACTAATTCGCCTTCTGAATAGAGCTGCAGATGTAGAAATCTCAGGATTATGAGAAATCCATGTCACCTGCAGGGGATGTTGTCAAGAGCATGATCTCTAGAGTCAGACCACATGAGCCAAGAATCTCACACAGTGACTACTTAGTGAGAAATATTTCTCTGGACCTCAGTTTCCTCATCTGTAACATAGGGACTAATGCACCTGCCTCCGAGAAGCACTAGAACTTAAAAAAACTATGGAAAGTGCTTATAGCATTGTCTGCATATGAGAGTCTCCACAGCTGTTAGAGTGTCTGCAGAAGTGTGAGGCACTATTGCCGCCTAGCGCCTGAACTCAGAGCCTGGCTGCCCTAAAATAGAAGCCAACACGTCATCACCACAGAGCGGCCTCAGGTCCTGAGGCTGCAGCCCTCCCAGGCTTCCTGTAAAGGCTTGTGAATTAGTCCGTGAGGTTCTCTAAAGTGCTGAAAGGATAACCCTTTCAGAAGACGTTATTATTCTCAGTTGATGGGAGGAAAAAGGTCAGGAGGTTCAGTAACTTGCTCAACAAAGTTCCTGGGCGCTAAAGCCAGAATTGAGCCCAAGATTGAGTCCCAAACGCTGTACCACTGCCTTGTTCCCCAGCAGGAAACTCTCTTCTCTTTTAGCAGAACTGCATGTATTGTTCATAGTATACTGATAAGATAAATTGTGCCAAGCATTTTTTGAGATAACAATACTGTTTAATTGCTTTGTATTTAATCCTGCATTGTGGTTTCCCAAAGTGCTTATTTAATTCTTTCAGTTCTGAATGTACCTTTGCCATGCTCCCTACTCTAATACTAGTACAGACTTTAGATGGGAGATGGTGTGAGAGGTCCTCCCCAGGCCCACCCTCCTTGTCACTCAGATGTGACCAGGTAGGCTGCCAATCTGGACACTTCCCCCTCTGACATGGCACAGAACACCCAGGAAAGGTGCTTCCTGACATCAAGAGGCAAAAGGGCCCCTGAATCTGGAAAAAGCTGACTCTTGGTCAACAATGCTTTAAAGAAAGATCTTGGTCAGAAGAGGGAAATGTGAAAAGTAATAAACAGAAACCTCATTTAAAATGGAGTCAGGAAGCTGGAAGAGAGAACTTTCATGCACATTTCACTCAACACACAGGACTGACACCACAGGAAGAGAGGTACCTGCATCTCTGATAGGAAGTGATAGACTCAGCAGGAGGGAGGGAAGATTCCTCCCAGGAACAGCTCAGCCAATGAGAAATCACTACACTGGGAACTTTCGGTTTCCTCCAATGGAATCTTTGTTTACAGCAGCCTCCCAGGTCCATAAAAGAGTGTGCCTCTGCGTTGTTTCTCTGTCCACTCCTGTGGTTCACCATTGCAGCTTCCCTCCCTAACATTATACAAAAGAGCTCCAGCCCCAGCAGCCACGTAGAGCTGTCACCACATCATTTTCTCCTGACGGGCAGCCTGTCTGAGGAGGGAACCTTCTGTCATGTCCATGCAGCAGCTGTGTGGGCTCTGTCACTATATTCCTCAGCTTTTCTTGTCATTTAGACTTTGGTGCAAATGGCCTGTTAGAAAGAAAAAAAAGTAAGTTAGGATGACCTGGGGTTGAGTGAGCTTACATGCACCATGGAGCATCTGGAGCACCTAGAGTCTCACAGAGACCTGTGCCAGCTAGGTTCTACCAAAGTAATCATTGTATCTTGTGATCTGATTTACATTTTTATATAATTTTACTCTGTAGAGCTCTGATCCTACACATCTCAGAACCCATTGAGCAGTTGTCATCATTAAATGCCTACATTTTGGGAGGTTTGGCTGCTTTTAATTGTGTTGAAGTCAAATCTTATGTAAGTAAAGAACATAGCACTCTGGTGATGATGAATCACTGGTCGAAGGAGCGGTGGCTCTCTACACCTGAAACAAAGTCTGGTAGGAGGAGGGACAATTCTGTGACTTGGAAGAGGAATATCCTTGAAATCTGCTCATAGAAAAATAATACTTTTTAGAAGTGAAGGTGATCCTTATTGCCTTTCATTGAGACAAAGCAATCAAACATCTGGCAAAAGCTGATTGATGCTTTAATAATTTCTTTTTTAGGAAATGATTGAGTCCTTTGTTTCAAAGTTGAGTCTGGAACAGTGTATGCATAGATTCACAGTACTAGGCACCAAGGATGGTCTGATAAAAGCTGCCTCAGGGGTGGGCCATGCAGGCTGCGGCTCAGCTTCAGTTAATCCATGTCTGAGAACGCTCATGAGTGAAGCAAAAGCACTGTAACCCCCTGCAACTGAAAGACAACCAGTAGAAGAGCCTTTCCACTTGTTTTCTTTACAGCATTTGGTTCTGAGTTCCCCCGTTTTTGTTTTTCCAGTTGTGACATATTCGTATCACTCTGTGCTCACCTAATTTAATAAATTTATATAAATATCCTATTCGATCATTTTTGTGATTATAAAGTTGGTGGTGTCTTGGACAAGATTCTTTTCACTGACTATATCAAGCATGTCAAACTCAAAGGCTAACACGGGCCAAATAAACAAAGCTTGCTAGTAAGTTTATGTGGGCAGCAAAAAAAAAAAAAAGCTTCAATTTTCATAGAAATGTGGGATTATTTCGATAGAGACATGCTGAATACAAAGGGCTGAAATAAATGAGTAATCATTAACATAAAATAATAGAACATTTTAATAAAAATTAATATTTTTTCTTGAACATTAACTTACCAGGCACCATTATTAATATCGGAGGCCCAGTGCACGAAATTCATGCACGGGAGGGAGGGTCCCTCAGCCCAGCCTGCACACTCTTGCAATCTGAGACCATAGGCTTGTAACCACTCGCCTGCCTGCCTGATCACCCCTAACCACCTCTGCCTCAGCCCCCGCTGCGGCAACTTCATCCAGAAGGACATCCGGAAGGTCATTTGGCTGTCCGGTCTAATTAGCATATTACGCTTTTATTATATTAATAATTATGTATAACAGGATATTGTAAAAATCAAGTTACAAAATTTTTATTAAAACATTTCTTACATACCATTCTATTTGCTGGGCTGCAAAAATATTCATTGTGGGCCACATGCTGCCCGTGGGCTGCAAGTTTGATATTCTCTGACTGTATGGTTTAGCCCTCTTTTAAGATGGTTTTCCTTTTAGCACAAGTATTTTCCAAGATAAATGAGTTAAAATGCATGTAAAGAAAAGCATTATCTTTGCAAAATGAAAGGACTTTCAAATTTTATTGCAGACTTGATTGGACTTCATGAAAATGTACTCTTTGGAAGATACCGCTAAGAAAATAAAAAGGCAAACCACAGAGTGGAGAAATTTTTTGCCATACACAATTCTAATAAAAGACGGTATTTAAAATTTTTACAGCACAATTGGAAGGCCAATTTATTGGTATATGTGAATAGGTGAATAGGAATACATATATATAAATACATGTATATGCCAAGGGATTTGAACAGACATGTTCCAAAAGATGATGTACAAGTGATCAATAAGCATGTGAAATCATGTCATTGGAGAAATGCAAATTAAAACACAGTGTCATACCACTGCACAGCTACTAGGAAAGCGAAAATAAAAAGACCAACAACACCAAGTGTTAGTGAGGTTTGGGCCTGCTAGTACTCTCATATACTGCTGATGGGGGTATAAATGGTGTTACCACTTGGAAAACAGTTAGATAGTTTCTTATGTAGTTAAATATACACTTAACCATATGAACAAGCAATTAATTTTACTGCTAGGTGTTTACTAAAGGAAATGGAACCATGTGTCTACAAAAGGTCTTGCCCATTTTGGTTATCCCATCAGTGCCTATTTTCTCTGTAAAATGGGCATGATAATACTTTATGAAGTTTATTATCGTCTGTGAAGCACTCAGCACCACACTGACACATGTATTTCAAATGATGTCTTTTACATTATATATGTAATGTAATACACATATTATATACTAGAGGCCAAGTGCACAAATTCATGCACGGGTGGGGCCCAGCCAGCCCGCCCCAATCGGGCCTGGCCGGCCAAGGGGAGGGGACACTGGAGGTTGGCCAGCCGGCCCCTCCCCCTGGTCGAACTGGTCAAGGGGACAATTTGCATATTAGCCTTTTATTATATAGGATATTTATGTTGTTCTCTTTAAAGCCACCTTGACCTTAGCCAAAGGCTAAGTTAAGGACTACATCTATGTCTTTGATGAAAGTGCTTTCTATTTAAGATTACAAATTGACCACTTTTATCTGTGTGTGTCTCAAAGGTGAGTGATTTCACGTGGAGCCACGATGGGACTCAAGCGCTTATTTCATATCGAGATGGGTTTGTCCTGGTCGGTTCTGTCAGTGGACAAAGACACTGGTCATCTGAGATCAACCTGGAAAGTCAGATCACATGTGGCATATGGACTCCTGATGACCAACAGGTAATGCATCTTGAATATAGGTGTGTAATGTTAAAACCATGAGAGATGAGGAGGAAATGACTAAAAAATTATCACACAAGGAAAAAGGGCTGGGCTAGGGGAGTTTGCTCCAAAGCTTCTTAAAGAATCACAAAGGAAAAGAACAATGACAGTGTCCAGGTAAATATTAAAACAAAAATTTGAAATGAACCATAGGTTGGAGAAAAAATATTCCCACCAGTATGGTAAATATTGGGTAAATATTTTAATTACAGAAAATGTTGACCCAAATTTAGTTTTAAATCTACGTAAGTAGTCAATTAATAAATGGATAATGGACATAAACAGTAATTTACAAAAGAAGTTCAACTAGTCAGTAATCATGTGGTGGAAAATTATTCTCGGAAAAAATGCAAAATAGCATAATGACATATTTTCACTTTTAGCAAAAGTAGTAATAAACTGATACAGATGATTTTACTGATTATTGATGAATACAATCAAGTATTCTCATTCATTGCTAGTAATAATGTGTATTAGACATTTGAAGAAGCATTTTGGTGTACAGTATGTAAAAAATACTAAAAATTATCAACCAATATACTTTAGGAATTTATCTAAAAAAACAGAGAAGCCCTGGCCCGTATTGCTTGGTGAATAGAGTTTTAGCCTGCACACCAAAAGGTCTTGGGTTTGATTCCTGCTCAAGGGCGTGTACCTAGGTTGTAGGTTCAATCCCTGGCCCTGGTTCGATGTGTCTCTCTCATGGATGTTTCTTTCTCTCTCTCTCTCTCTCTCTCTCTCTCTCTCTCTCTCTCTCTCTCTCTCTCTCTCTCTCTCCCCCTTCTTCTCTGAAATCAATAAAATATATAAATATAAAAAGATTTCCTTAGCCTAAAAAGCAATGAAAAAAAAATCTCCTGTGAGGATTAACCAAAAAAAAAAAAAGAAAAAAAAGAAAGAAACATAGGGAAGAAAATAACAGTTCTTTATTGAAGTATTATTTATTATCAACTTTCCAGGTTGATCTCAGATGACCAGTGTTTTGTCCATTGGAGATAGCACATCAGCCTACTAATCTCAAAATAAAATGGTTAAGTAAACTGTGGTGTACCACTTAAGGTATTACATAGTAGTTCTGTAAATTGTAGGTTGTGGTATAAAGATGGTGTAATAATTTGGAAGAGCTCTTATGGTCTAATATAAGGAGGAAATTCTGGATTTGAAGGGTATATGTGGTATGATTACCACATCATAAACACCCAAGAGAAACCCGCTGTGTAGTATGAAGAACTGGAACGAAGTGAATCCAAATGCCACGGACAGGTTGTGATTTTATGGTGATGAGCCTTCTGGTCATTTTTTTCAAACCTAATTTCAAAATAATTTTTGGTGTTCTAATTTCATGATAAAACAATATATAATAGCCTAATAAGATCAGTTGTTGATAATTGATTTTTAAATATAGTGTTTATGAGGTAAAACCTTTGTAAATATAAAACTTATCCAAGTACAGCAGAATCCATACAATGCTGAAACATTTTAAGCAGTATAATATGGAACCATACTTTTATTTTGAGACACTACTTTTTTTTTTACTAAATTGCTTTCATATGTTTCATGTTTCCTTTTTTTAAGAAAATAAAAATGGCCAATTTGTTTTCTTCTCAAACTTAGTGTTGTGAGAAAGGAATACATTGAACCTGAGAATTTATATGGGTACTATAATTACTTTAAAATTTCATTGATTTTAAAAACTGCCCTGCAATAAGAGAGAGCTGTTGACCTGATATGGCCTGAGGACTCTCAGGTTTCTACCAGCCTGTTAGCTCTTGGTGTCCACATTACAGAGGGCTTGTCCCTCACCCAGGCATGAACCCTGCAGTCCAGCTGGGAAAATATGAGACAAATTTACATAATTTCATCATCAGTTCGTAATTAAAAGCGTTTGGAAGATTTGAACAGAGCTTTGATTTATAGACTAAAGAATAAATTAAAGGAGTTCTTCCTTCATTTGGCAAAGACCAAACTTTGGGCAGAAACTCATTTACTGAGCAACCACTCGTGACAGGAAACTGAGAAATTTCGGTGCAGACTTGCCCTCGAGAAGCTCATGGTGTAGTGGGCAAGGCAGACTTGCAAAACAGAACCAAGCTCACAGTGCCGTGGAGGCCATGGTTAGAGTGAGGTTAATTCTGTGAGGGGTCCGAAAGCTTTCAGACGTGGTGTCTGAGCACCTGTGATGTGACAGACACCGTACTGGACGTTGGAGATAGCACATCAGCCGCAGTCTTTTCTGGGAGAGGCGCTGGCCGTGTGAGTGCTGGTTGTTTGGGAAAGGACAAGATCACACATTTCGTCTGGGACTTGTTGGCTCGGAAGGCCCTTTGGCTCATTCAAGTAGCAGGTTGGCCAGGGCGTGTGTGAGTCCGGAGCTTAGGGAGAGGCCTGGACAGGGAGCTAGTGTGGGTGGGGCCCCCGAAGCCGTGGACATGACTGATCTAGAGAGAGAAGAGGGCCTCGGGCCAAGCCTGGAAGAGAAGCCAGCCCGGCTCCCTGGGGAGAGCACCCGAATGAGGGAGGAGAGGCGCGGAGACTGGTGTCCTTGCCATGGTGTGCTCTTATTAGACTTTCCGTCTTGTTCTCTTCAAGTCGGGGCCTCACATAGCCTGTCTCATGGGAAGTGATTAGGCATGAAAAGAACGTGTAATAGGCAAGATTTTAAAAATCTGATTTCATGTTGTATCCGTGACATTGTTCCAAAACAGAGTAACTCCCTGCATCATTGCTTGACAGCTAGACAATTCATGCTGGTTTTTTCTTCTCGCCGATTTTATAGGGCATGATCTTCCCAGAGGGCTGTGTTTGGAACCGGCTGATGGTGGAGCTTTGGGAGAGGGGGGCTTTTTGTTCCATGTTGCCTTACTGTAATGTTGAGCACTGGCCACCAGTCCTTTCATTCAGGAATTAGGTGTCTGTTCTATTGTCTGGCATCACTTTCTCTAAAATGGAAAGATGTGTGTCACTTAAAAATGCTTCAGTGCCGAGGCCTTTCTTCCTCCCTCCACAAATACTGCCGTGGCCGCCTGCTGTGACAGGCCCCGGGGAGATGGCGATGAGCAGAGCGGGCCTGGTCCAGTCCTCAGAAGCTTACAGTCTGTGTGGGAGTCAGGTATGAAAAATCATACAGCAAAGATTGAGAATAGTGATGACTGCACCAGTGGAACATGGTGGGTACGGCAGAGTCCACCACAGACAGGGCGGGGATCTCCTGCGTTGGCTAATGAGCTATCGTTATTAAAAACAAAAGTCATAAATGATCAATGACCCCTTCAGCCAGCACCAAGGTACAGCGATGCTCTTCAGAACCGATTTGAAAAATGAGTGAGACTGTGCAAAGCAGGGGAAGAAAAGCCTTTGTCACCCGTGACATTTGCCTTACAGTGGGGTCCCCACATATCTTTTTCATTTGAAACATGTAAATTGTACATTTTAGTTAAAGTTATAGGAAGTCATGTTCTGTATGTGTCATCATTTAGAACTGCTTACCAACATGTTCAATGTCTGCCATTCTGGAGTTCAGCAGTGTTCCTGTTGGTTTTGTCTGGTTTTCTTTAAGTGGCGTGGACTAATAAATTGATCCACTTCTGAGGGAAAACAGTTTTAGCCTTTTTTTTTTTTTTTTTAGCTTTCAGTCATTAAAATGTAGATCATGTTTAAAGAAATATTTGGTAGAAACTGATTTATCCTAACAGTTCTGTGAGATCTGTGAGCTTATTATTACTTAAATGAATTATATCATCCCATGCAATTCATCTCAATCATCAGCATTTATGTCCTAAAATTACCTTTTTAAAAAAATATGTTTTTATTGATTTCAGAGAGGAAGGGAGAGAGAGAGAGTCAGAAACATCAATAATGAGAGAGAATTATTGATCAGCTGTCTCCTACATGCCCCCCTACTGGGAATCAAGCCCACAACCTGGGCATGTGCCCTTGACTGGAATCGAACCCAGGACCCTTCAGTCTGTAGGCCTATGCTCTACCCACTGAGCAAAACCAGCTAGGGCTAAAATTACCTTTTCATTGTCATTTACTTGAATTTATTCATTTAACAAAAAATACTTGTTGATTGTCCACTGTACCCAAAGCTCTTTTAGGTACAATGGGGTACCTCTGTGAATAGTCTTTGCCCCCAAGCTTAGTGGCATAACCTTAAAAGCAAAAAGAGGCAAGAGTTTTAAAAGCCTTATTAAATCCTGGCCTTTTTAGTCAGATAGCCCTGGCTTGACCACTTAACAGCTTTGTCAACTTGACCCCTTCCAATTTTTTCTGCACCTATAAAATGGAAATAGTTTGCTTGGTTGGCACAGTGAGTTGCTCGGGGGTAGACAAATCCCATTAGACACAAAAGATAGAAAGTTTTCATGGCAAGAGATGCAGAGCCCGCCCATGCCCACCACACAGACCAGAAGATATCAGCATGCTTCCCAGGCCCAGGGTCTCCTCCTGACGTCCGGCTGGATGGCACCACTGTCAGGGGGCTGCCAGCCTCTGTGAGACACTCTAGCGCTGCTCTGATGTGACCCCCCGCCCCCCATCCTCTGCCTGCCTGTGCTCTAGCTCTGCCATGTGCCTGTCCCATCTCCCAGCAGGGCTCTGAGTGTGTGCTCCCTGATCTGGGGACCTGAGGGAATTCCCTAGGTCCATCCAGCTTCATTCCAGCATTGCTAGGACTTCACTCACAGGAGTGTTCTGACAGTTATGAGGTGCAGCTTTTAGTATAGTGCTTATCACCAAGTCAGCACTTAGTGAAGGTATTATTACCGTTAATGCTTTATAACATTATCAACTAATACCGTTCTTATTCACAGTGAAATAAAACAAACTATTTCAGGAACATCTTTTCCAAATATGATTAGATAACATGCTTACATAACCAGATGTATTTTCTCTAGGTCAGACATACACCTAAGTTTGTCTTCTAAATCTAATAAATTCTTAACAATGAACCTCTGCTACTTCTTTATTTTCCAGAAAAATAAGTGAATAACCCTCTTCCTTCAACCCAAGAAAACAAAGCAAGCCACAAAAAGTGAAACCAGGATTTGCTCATATTATTTGATAATGTCCATACAATATAATGAATATGTTTATTGTGCTGCTGGTCATATTTCAGTATTAGAGGACTCGAGTTTTTGCAATAACAGTCAGCTAAATTTTCACTACTTAATGCTTTGTGTATCCCCTCAGTTACTTACCTGGTCTGTGTTTTTATTCCAAATATACTTTGTCCTTCTAAACAAGTTGAGGTGAGGTGTGTGGGAAACGGAGGCCTTCCCTCCGTCCATCGGCAGTCCTGGTGCTCACTTGCAGGTGCTGTTCGGCACGGCCGATGGGCAGGTGATCGTCATGGACTGCCACGGCAGGATGCTGGCGCACGTCCTCCTGCACGAGTCGGACGGCATCCTCAGCATGTCCTGGAACTACCCTGCCTTCCTGGTGGAGGACAGCAGCGAGAGCGACACAGACTCGGACGACTACTCCCCGCCCCAAGGTAGCTCGCTGCTTCACAGGGACAGCGTATGGAGGGAATGAACTGCGTTAGAGGCAGAAGGGGAAGGCCTGCCACAGGCACAGCACCCTCACTTGTTGGGAAGAGTTCGCAAACCGAATTGCAAGGCCCCTCGGCCCAATCTGTGTTCGCTATTTGACTGTCTTCTCTCTGCCACCCCCTGTCTCACTGTCGCTGGTCAGGTTGATTGGCATAGGTTTCCTACACGTAAAATGCTCTCACTTTGTCTTCTTCCTTCCCCAGATGTGTGTGTTATGCTTCCCAGAGAATATGCATACACATTTCCGTGCATGTGTTTATTTTAGGAGTAGACAATGTTTACACATAAAAAAAATGAAGATCAGTGCTAGTGTTTCAGGGGAGGTAGGTCTGAGGGAGAGTCCTTAGCACCGACAGATGCACTAGGAAGTAACTGCCCAGGCTCTCTGCTGAGCACCCTGTGCGGCCGCGTCGTGTGGAGGGTGGAGAAGGCTGCTTGCTTAGCAGCACCCAGTGCAGAGTCCCATCCGCATGGCCAGGCCGTTTGCAAGACCCTCCACAAGATCGCAGCGCTGTGGCCTGGGTTTGGGTCACGTGCTCATTGTCTCTTCTTCACCCAGCACTTTGTCCCCACAGATGGTCCAGCAGCATATCCCATCCCGGTGCAGAACATCAAGCCACTGCTCACCGTCAGCTTCACCTCGGGGGACATCAGCTTAATGAACAACTACGATGACTTGTCTCCTACTGTCATCCGCTCAGGCCTGAAAGGTACTCATATGTCCCTCGGCCCAGGGATTCGTTTTCCAGGCTGGTTGTCGTACACCCAGCACTTGTTGATTCTCGTCCCCTGCAGTGACCTCTTTCTGACTTAAGGGAGTCTGTTAGAAAGGACATTTCCTTTCTCTTTCCCACTTATCTGGCAAGTCGCTGCCTGGCCTTGCCTAGAGGAGGGATTCCTGACCGGCAGGCTTCATCTTCACCTGCTCTCTCCCACTCCGGCATGAGTGGTCCTCTCTCTGGTGCGCTGTGTTTGTCTCTGGCTGACACTGTGTCTGCAGAGTAGTGGGCGGCAGCCCCTGCTGTTCTCGAGGCAACAGATGGTACACGAGACACATTTACACAGAAGCCCCTGTAGTTTTAAGGCTTACTAAAGCCTTAATGGTTGTGCAGTGAAGTTACCTTGGATGCATTATTTTGTTCTCTGTTTATCAGCCGAGATTGTATTGGAGCAGCATTCCCAACACATTCCCACCAAATTCGCAGCTTAGAAACACATGTGACTTGGGGAGGTGACCCATAGAAGCTCTCCCAGATGAGAAATTTTTTTGACTAGAGTTTTATTCTAACTTCCATCTTAGATCCACATGGTCTTTTTCTGTTACTGTCTCAATTAAATATAATCAGAGAACTTCCAGTGAAGAAAGGTGACTTATGATATTCTTTTTTTATATATTTTATTGATTTTTTTACAGAGAGGAAGGGAGAGGAATAGAGAGTTAGAAACATCGATGAGAGAGAAACATCAATCAGCTGCCTCCTGCATACCTCCCACTGGGGATGTGCCCGCAACCATGGTTCATGTCCCCAACCGGAATCGAACCTGGGACCCTTCAGTCCGCAGGCCGATGCTCTATCCACTGAGCCAAACTGGTTAGGGCTATTCTTTACTTTGTTACCAGCACAGTGATTATGTCACATGGAAAAGAACTTAGAGTGCCTGATAGACCGTGGTGCCTGCAGCCAGCCCTCTTCCTCATCATCTACCACACATTCCTTTATTGCAGATTCATTTTTGTGTGTATAGGGGTAGGAAGTGATTTTGCTTTGCAAATGTGTCCCGTCTGTCCCCCCACACCCCCCCCAGCAAGTTGTGCCGTGAAGAAAAATTTCCTGAGAATCCCAAATTGTTTATCATACAATGAACCATAAATTGGTTCACCTTATTTGGAGTTTTTACCCTTTGTTGTGACTTTTGCTCTTTCTTGAGGATGTAAGGGAGGAAAAACATTTCCCCCAGCTGAGGTTCCGCCCTGTAAAGTCTACTGACAAAGATAGACTAGAGAAAAGCAAACAAATGCATTAACTCAGGCATTGCACTTACCCATGAGAGCACTCGTAGATGAGTAACTTGGAGCAATTGGGAGCGGGGGTTAGAATGTGGGTTACACAGCATGTTAACAAAAGAACAATACATTTTAGAGAAATGACAAAGCTAAAGGGCTCAGTTTCTAGGGCAGCAAATCGTGGGAACTAATTGACGATAAGGGCTAGTTCATAAATTTGTTTTATAGATTCGTCTAGTATCTTTGCTGGGTTGATAAAGGTCTAAAGTTGTCTCCAGTGATTAACTTATGTCCTTCCTGGTGGGAGGTCACACACGTTTACAAATTTGTCTTGCTTTTAAACAATCTTGGAGAGCAGAGAGCTTGTCTTGTATCTTATTTCTTCTCAAAATAATCCTTATGCCAATAAGGCATATTTTGGATGGCACATTCTGCTACCCATCAAAAACAAAAAACTTAGGAGTTCAGAAATTCAAGAGCATGTCTCACTTTACCCCACATTGCCTTAAAATAAAGGAATTCGAATTCAAAATAAAGGAATTCAAATTCATACTGCTTTGTTTTGTTTCTCTGTTTTGCAGAATTTTTTCTTTCTAGCATTTCTTTTAGCACACAATGGCCCTATTATTGTGAAACTTACTCCTTTTAAAAGATTGACTTGCCATTATAGACTGTAACTGTCTCAGGATAACTTTATAACTGTGTCTAATGCACTCAGAATTAAGATTCAGGAGGCTTTGTCTAGAAGTAAATGACAAAGACTTATTCAAGGATCTCTGAGTTTGCAGACGGAAAGCACAGCTAGGCAATACCAGACCATTCCAACTGAGAAAGAAAAGCTGAGGGGCCTTATAGTACAAAGTCCATTCTTGAGAAGAATCAGTCCTGCATTCTGAGCCCTGCATTGGTCCAGGATGTTATCTCCAGATGTTTCTTCTTGAGGTCACTCAGATGGTCATCTGAGGGTTTGATGTATGTTCAGGCCATTGACGCACAGTGACCCAGGTGCATCTAGCATTGATGCAGGACTGAGAGCCCAGAAGGTTAAGTTCCCAGGCTAGTCAAAGCAAGAATGGCATCATTTCCTGTTGCCTCAGCATACGTCATTGAATAATTCAGAACTTGACCATAGCGACGCCATTTTTTTATTCACTCTGTTCCTCAACTGCACTGAAGAAATCCCTGAGCATTTGCTTGTAAATATTACACCGGGATCTTCCTGCAGGGCCATGAAGGGAGGCAGGGGGCATATCTGCAAAACAAAGACCCCGAAGGTTATAAAAAGTGAAACCTTCCACGTGCTGCTTCACTCTGATCTGGAAATTACTTCCCGGAGTCCGCCGGTGTAATTAAAACAGTGTCTTTCCACTTCTTCAAAGCGTTGCTTGGTTTTCTGGGGTCTTCTGCAACAGGACAGACAGTTCCCACCTAATAAACAAAATGTTTAAGGCTCCAAAAGTGTCTTAAGAGCCTTGAGTGCTCAGGGCCTGTCTTTGAGCAACCTCTGAATATGACTGTGTCTAGGTCAGCCCTGCGGGAGCAACAATCTACTTTTCTGTTGGTAAAAAACAAAATGCAAAGAATGTTATTAAAAATGAATAAATAGCAAAAAGAATGGTGCCGGTATCCACTCACCCACTGACCAAAGCGGGTCAGCTGAGGAGCCTTGGGAATGAAGTGCTGTGTCTTTATTTCTGCGGTTTTGCTGTGATGCTTCTGCCCTAGACAAGGGTAGACCTCATCTTTTTCTTGTTTTTACCTGTTAGCGTTAGTGCTCCTTCTTTTGACATCTTTGTGCTTACAAAGGAACCATCCAGAAAAGGTCATCTCAGTTTCATGACAAGGCTCTTCACTAGAGTGATGGAGGCATTTGGTCCAGAGCACACTGTGGTTATGCACAAGCCCTCTCGCTTCCCCTATCATCTTTTTAAAAGTCTATTCACCAGGATATGTATTTGATTCTTTTAAGTTATTTTTCATTTGCTCCACCTTATTCATATCCTCTTATATGAAAAGGGGGGTGGGGGACTCCTTTTATTGATGCGTTCTCTTGGTGTATCATTTCACTTGGTGCTCGTCTGTAACTCCTTCCTCTCAGCTCTCTGCCACCTCTGTCTCTGATTTCTGTCTGTGGCTGACTTGCTGAACTAACTCTGGCTTCTCTGGGTCTGGAGGGTCGTCTTGCCCCAGAGGCCACTGTCTAGTCTTCAAAGGAAGTTAATTTCTGTGGTGGCCTCCGAGTGGCTGGTGTGAATGTCAGCATCAGAGAGGCCGTGATCAGGTGTGACCTGGTAGCGCTTAGAGGCTGTTGAATTCTAGACCCAGCTCTTACACATGTCCCTGTCCAGCCTCTGCAGAATGGGCCCCTGAGTTCCAGACTTCCAGGATCTCTGTATAAGCCGCAGACAGTCTTAGGGTCTTGAGGGAGAAAAACTGTACTGTAAATCTTATTAGTACAACAGCTGATTTTACCAGCAAGAATAAGTAACTGGCTAACATTGGGATTAGACAAATCATTTAATAGCCTTTCTTGTAGGCACTGAAAAGCTGGTGGGAGGGCAGCGCATCTCCAGTGTGGACATTTCTCTGACAACACTACCACCTAGCAGAAGTATTTATCTTCTTTCCTAAGCCCCACAACATCGTCAACTGTTGGATAAGAGTTGGGGCCTTCATGTGCAGATATGTTCTTTGCCTGAATATTATCTGCCCAGGGCTGCAAGAGAAATCAAATGAGTATAGTTAGGCTTTGCTCAGGATTTACTTAGAGCATTTATGACTTCTTTGAGTCATCTCTTCGTGGGGGACAACAATGGGAAAAGCACGTTGGATGTGCATCATAGGTTTTGTTATCTTGCCTGCTCTCTCAGAGTTCTGCAAGTCCTGTTATGGAATTGCTGGCATTAGAGATAGGTATTTAGCATGCCAGCTTTGTTGTATATTTTCTTTGACTGATTTAGTTATCTTTCAGGGGCACTGGAATTCCTTGCTAAGTCATAAGCACCTGTTTTTAATAGAGTCTGTATTGTTTTCAGAGAAATAGGTAGCTAATGTCTTCATGAGAGAAAAGGGGAGAGCCACTGTTGCATTTGTTAAGCGTATCTTTTTTAAACTACTTACCATGAAGTGAAAGTTCAGGGAAAAGTATGTTTCAGGCCGTTTCTTCTTTGTGATTTCAGAGGTGGTGGCCCAGTGGTGTACGCAGGGAGACCTTCTGGCAGTCGCTGGTATGGAACGGCAAACCCAGCTTGGTGACCTTCCCAACGGCCCTCTCCTGAAGAGTGCCATGGTCAAGTTCTACAATGTTCGTGGGGAACACATCTTCACACTGGACACACTTGTGCAAGTAAGGAGGTGGGGAGGGGGCGCTCACTGTGATGCCTGTGTTAGTGTGCCCCAGTCTTCATAGAAGAGTCGTGAGTTGGTTATACTCACTGTAATTGTCTTTGGCAGATTTCAATCCTTTGTTGACTTTAATTAAATTATGAGGCATGAACCAGGAAAAATAGGGAGAAAGACATTATTGCTTTTTAACCAAAATACATTCAAATGAATGGACAATAAGCAGAGTGACCTGGTGTTTATTATCAGTCTGAAGTAGAAATCAGAACATGCAGAAATGAATGCTCATTCTTAATTTATTTACTCCGATTTTATGTTAAGTCAGTAATGTATGTTTATGTTTCAGCTAAGTTACTGTTAAACAATGTTTAAAAGCTTAAATGTCTTTGAGAAAGTGCACAGGTGGGCCCCTTTCTGTTTGTTTTTATGTTCCAGAAATCTTTAGACCATTCATTCTTGTCCGGGTCTGGTATGGCAGAGGATGGAATCCTTAGCAGGGTGTACTGGACAGAGAGCTGCGAGTGCGTTGATGATTGATGGGTTGATAATAAACTAAGGACTTATGTCCTAACCTTACCCAGATCATTAGAGAGGCAGGTATACCATATTGGGGTATTTTGTAATTAGATGCAGTCATTAATTATTTAAATATCTCTTTTTTAAAAATTATAGTGAAATATACATAACATAAAATTTACCATCTTAACCATTTTTAAGTGTATAGTTAGGTAGTGTGAAGTATGTACCATTGTGGTCTAACCAATCTCTAGGACTTTTTCATCTTGTAAAACTGAAACTTTATCCCATTCTGTTCCTATGCACTTGACTATTGTACATACCTCATATATGGAATCATACAGTGTTTGTCTTTTTATGACTTTTTAAAATTTTAGATAGCATAACCTCTCCTCAAGGTTCATCTACGTTATAGCATATGCCAGAATTTCCTTCTTTTTTAAGGCTGAATAATATGCCATTACATATATATGTATATGTGTATATGTATGTATATGTATATATATATATATACATATATATACACACACACACACACACACACACATACATGCATAGAGACATTAAGGTAGGCTAATTCTTCTCAGAGCTGGGGGGGCGCAATGTCAAGAGACATTTTTGGTTCTCACAAAGTGGGGGTCGTGCAGGAGGCGGCTGAGCAG